ACAACTTGCTGTATGGGAATACCCCTTAGCAGAGCCTCCCAGCATGAACAGCTCACAGCTCCGGCCCTCGGGACCCTTGCCCATCACCCTGGGGACTGCAGGGCACGAGCTCTCCCGCCCAAGCCTTCACCAGGCTCTAAAAGTTTCAGACCCGAGGACCAGGGAGCACCGGCCCAGGAGCTTCCTCAGCTTGCGCTGCACGGACACCCCACTGCCCTGCCAGCCCGTGCCACGGCTCTCTCCTCCTTGCCGTGCCCTTCACATTCCCACTCTGCCCTTACCCGGCTTAGGTCGCAAGAGTCGGTGCAACCGCTGCTGCGCTGCCTTCCTCTCCTCCTCTATGATCTCCTCCGTGATGGGGTAGCCCGGGTCAAGTGCAGGGGGCTGCCAAGAGAGAGCAGTAGCTTAGTTCCTTCTCAGGGAAGCCGGCAGAGCCGCTCTGAAGGAGGTGTGGAAGCAGGCTGGCTCCAGAGCCGGGAAGCAGTGGTTCTGCCGCAGCCACCGCAGAGCTCTGGTCCCCATTCGTTTTGGCCCCCAGCTTGGCGCTGAGGGCACAGCACCCTTGCCCAGCCAGTACCTGCTCCAGCAGCGGGCAGCAGTCACGCACAGCCACCACGCACCGGGGCAGGGGAGAGCCTCACTTCCCACTCAGCCAAGGACGAGACCTCCTGCCCCAAGGCAGGCAGGTCAGCCTGCCCCCAGCCCTGCACAAATTGCACTGGGCACATTCTGTCCCCAGACGAGGCCAAAGAGGCTGCGAGACGGCGACGTATCAGCACCAGTGGTTCATTATCCCAGGGCACCAGCAGGCAGATGCTCCTCCTGCGCGGTCTTCCGTTTCCCGGCGATGGTGGTGGGCTCGGGGACTGCCGCCGCTTCTCCTCAGCCCTCTCGACAGCTACAGGAGGAGACAAGTCAGGAGCAGCTCCCAGCAGGGGCGTTTGGCCTATACCGAGGGGTTGTCCCTTCTCACTCCTCTCCGGATGCCCGTCTTGGAGGGCAGAGCCAGGGACACAGCCTTAAGCCGCGGACAAGGTTGCGATACCCTGGGGCAGCAGCTGGCCACAAGAGATCCACGGGGAAGCTGTCACAAGAGCCCGCTGGGGCTCCACGGGCCAGCAGCCCCATCCCACCTCCACAGACGTTCCTTGCCCGCTGCCCACCCGAACCACAAACCACACAAACTGCCAGACGTGGCCACATCTCGCACTGTGCCACAGGACCCTAGCCACAACGGGCACACAGGAGAAAACGCCACTGCCTCAGCACCAGCACGTTCCTCCTTTCCAGGGGACACTTCAAGCTTGTCCCACCTGCAGACCTGAGCTACCTCGTGTCCCACTGCTGTCCCGCACCAGTGGCCCACCCAACTGTGGCACAGAGCTGGGCCCCACCTGCACTCACCTTCCTCCATCTGCACAGCCCTGGTCGCTGTCACCGGCGCGCGGCTCCATCGTCGCACCTCCCGTTCCCTGTGCAAGCAGGAGAGAGCCAGTTAGGATCGGCCCCCTGACCTGGGAGCAGGACGAGACCCAACACGCCAAGGACTCCCACAGGCATCCCTGCTGTGTTTCTTTGCTGTCTTTGCCAAACAGCAGAGCTCAGGGCAACAGCCTTGAGTCACCACAGCAGCCTGAGTGTGGCCCCAGGCAGAGGAGCTGCTCCTCTCCCTCCACCAGGGCCCCGGCTCGGGCAGCCTCAAGGCAGCAGCCAGGGATCCCGGGTGGGAGCCGCTGCTCCTCACAGGGCCCTGGTCGGACCCACCCTGTCCTGCTGCTCCACAGCACCGCAGGGGAACAAGGCTGCAGGGACGCTGATCAGCACAACACCAGGGCTGCCCCACAGCTGGGTGACCCAGTAGCCAGGTCTCGGGCCTGGAGAGCAGCACTTGGGTACTGGGATGGCTGGGAAGGTGAACGCTTTCTTCCTGGCTGGCACCGACAAGCGGGCGCTCGCCGGATCAGCAGTACATTACCTTCCTGTCCACTTGGCCACCGCACAGCAGACTCCTCTGCAGGACTGTGGGGACAACCCCCCACACATCCACTTCTCCTGGAACACAGGAAGAGACCAGCAGTAACTAATTTAGTTCTGGGGAGCACAGCCTCCCGTCCTCCTCATCGCTGTAGAGTAAATCCCATCTCCCAGGCACTGGCTACCGAGCCCAGAGCCTCTCTTGCTTCAAAGCTGCTCAGCTCCCCTCCAGAACATCCATGGAGGGCAGCCTGAGCACCCCAAACGGGATCCACTCTGGGAGCAAGCAGCCTCCAGACTCTTTCTAAGCGAGGCAACGGGGAGGGAGGATGCTGCTGCCCCAGACACAGCAAACCCTTCCCTCTGACTCACCCTGGAGAAAACCTTTCCCTGCACAGCTGCAGAGCTCCATTAGCCACGACTACGTCCCCTTCTCACATCTGCAAGCCCAGCCCAGGACGTGAGCAGTGTTTTATTACAGCTCAGCAGGTGCCGAGGAGACCCGCGTCAAAGTGGCAACACCGGGCTCCCAGGCGTGCTGCTGCCTCCAGCTGAAAAGCTGTCAGCACAGCAAAGAGATTTCGTCTTCCCCTTTTCCCTGGATGTGCCCCCCCTGCAGAGTGGCCAGGGCAGAGTGGGGAGAAGGAAAGAGCTGCGCGCTGGGCTGCGGAGCGGGGCTGGGCGTCGGGCCCACGGCGAGACCCTGGGCATCTGACTGTCCCAGCGTACCGGCGGGGAAACGGTCCTAGGGCTCCAGTGCGGCAGCAGCGGGTACCGGTGGCGCACGGTCGGCAGTGGGGCTCTGCTGGGACACAACGGTCAGCGCCTCTGTTAGCGGCGGGAGGATCCGATCCCGTCCTCCCCCCGTGCTCCCTCAAGGCAGTAGTGGCCGGACTGGGTGCTCTCAGCACAGGCGGTGCCTGCGGCCAAGCCACCGTTAGAGTCCATGGGAGCAGGCGCCTGCGGGCCGGCAGGACCGTATCGCACACCAGGACCCCACTGCGCACAGCAGCGATCCCTGCACAAGAAGGCAGGGCAGCACCACAGGCAGAGCTATGGGACCAGCACCGCCATAGCTGTGCCACCCGTGTCCTTATCCTGCCCGTATCCCTGTGCCACCTGTGTCCCTGTGCCACCTGCAGCCCTGATAACCAGGGTCTCTGTGCCATGTATATCCCTGTGCCACCTGTGTCCCTGTGCCACCTGCAGCCCTGATAACCAGGGTCTCTGTGCCATGTATATCCCTGTGCCACCTGCAGCCCTGATAACCAGGGTCTCTGTGCCATGTATATCCCTGTGCCACCTGTGTCTCTGTGCCACCTGCAGCCCTGATAACCAGGGTCTCTGTGCCATGTATATCCCTGTGCCACCTGCAGCCCTGATAACCAGGGTCTCTGTGCCATGTATATCCCTGTGCCACCTGTGTCTCTGTGCCACCTGCAGCCCTGATAACCAGGGTCTCTGTGCCATGTATATCCCTGTGCCACCTGTGTCCCTGTTCCACCCGTGTCCTTATCCCACCTGTGTCCCTGTTCCGCACCCGGCCCTGACAGCGCCAGCCCAGGACTTGGCTGCCACTCGGCAGCGACGACCTCGCAGGCTTCCCGCCACGCCGCGCTCGCACCACGGCCCCAGCAGGGAGACGGAGCTAAAATGGCCGCGGCCGGGGCCGCCCAGCGCTGTTTCCCCATTGGCCGGGGCCGCCCAGCGCTGTGCTGTCATTGGCTGAATCCGCCCGGCCGTGACTCCTCTGTGGCCGCCCCTACGCTGTCCCCGCCTGCCTGTCGCTCCGCAAGCTCCCTCCGCAGGGAAGGGGTGCGCGGCGGCCGCAGGCGTCCGGAAGCGGCGTCCACTGGGCCGAGCGAGGCGGGAGCTCTCCGGCGGTGCGGGCCGCGGGAGCGGGTGTTGCGCTGTGGCCGGAGCGGAGGGGGGCGGGTGTCCGTGCGGGGGAGCGGGGCCGTGTCCGTGCGGGGGAGCGGGGCCGTGTCCGTGCGGGGGAGCGGGGCCGTGTCCGTGCGGGGGAGCGGGGCCGTGTCCGTGCGGGACTGGCGGAGCCGGAGTTGGCCGTGTAGGAGCTCGGGGGTGTGTGGAAGGTAAGTGCAGCGGGGAGGATGTTGTGGTGGGTGTTGGCCGGGTGTGGGGTAAGAGGCGTGAGGTGGTTTCGGGGCAAGGGGACGAGAGGTTTGTGTGAAGATGTGCCGTGGTTCCGTGGGTCGGGCGAGCTCCGAGCCGGAGTCAGTGGTGCGTGCGGAGGGGCAGGGGTAGGGCAGGCCCAGGGCTGAGGGGCGGCGGGGCCCGGGGGAGGTGGGGGTGTTCCATGGGGAATTGCAGGGGTTGCCCGGGGAGGCGGGGGCGGAGCGGGGTTCCCGGGGTGCTGCAGGTTCCCGGAGCCCCCCTGGAGGGGTTCGCTGGGGCTGCCGCAGAGCCGCAGCGCTCCCAGATCTGGTCTTTGGGAGCTTCGGTGTTGCTGGTGAAGGGCTTCCCGTCAAGGTTGTGACCTGAGTCGAGGTCTTGGTCTGGCCTGGAACCTGGCTCAAAGCTCCTGTAAGCAGAGTGGCGCCTCACGTGTACGAGCAAGGGTTGTGCTCAGCAGCAGGCGCTTGGAGGTGATTTCCCCCTTGCCGTGGAGCTTTGTAGCTCGAGAGATCTGCACGTGTTGGATCTGTGCAAAAGTAAGGCCGGTCCGATGCCCTGGGTGTTTCACAGGGACTGCTTCCTTTCAGACACTTGCACAGCTCGAGTGTTACCTGCCTTTGCCTGGAACAGAACCGGTGCTCTCTAAGGAAAACCCAGAGATTCCACAGGGCAGTGGAAATAGAGGTGGAGCTCAGCTGGTGCTCCTCTGAGGAGGTGAAGGCTCCTTGTAGCGTCTTGTTTGTAGGCAAAGGCTGTTTTCTGCAGAGCCTGGCATCAGGCTGCTGGCCTGAGCCTGCAGGTGCGGGATGGCTGGGTTTGTGGTGTTCATTCTCAGTTTGTGCTGTTGGAATCTGCTCTCGCTAAATCTGTGATCTGTTTTAGACTTGGATGTCTCAATGGACACGTGGAGCTTCTTCTCTACTTGCCTGGTGTCCTTATGGCTGCACAGGCTTTACGTCTATTCTGCAGTTGCTTTTGGGGTCAGCATTTGGATCGTCATTCAGTTCTCCACCTCCAAACCCCAAGAGAAAGTAACAGAGCATGTAAGTGCTTTGAGAAGAGCCCCAGAATCTGTGTGTGGAAGCAAGCAGTTGCTGGGGAAAGGAAGCCCCTGGTGCAGTGAAATGTGCTACTCCACTGTGGGCCCACCTGAGTTGTTGCATGTGCCAGCTGTAGTTCAGTGTGTCTGATGGTTGTAATCCTCGGTCTGGGTCGTCTTATGTTTGTGGGTAACTGAACGCGCTCTTTGCTCTGCTGTCACAGCAGAACTCATCTGAATGCTTTCCATTTGTTACTGAGGGAGTGTGTCAGCCTGGCTTGCTCTGTCACTTCAGGCAAATCATTCTGCTTCTGCAAGGTTTTCTCATTTTTCCTGTGATGTTAATGATAAGGTTGGGCTGGTTTGGGGACCAGAGTGGGATTAGGCCACTAGGGAATTTAAATCCTTGTTGTTCAGGTGAGTGAAGCTCTGCTTTAGGAGTTGGGAAGTTCTTGGTTTCAGCCTGAGCCTGTTATCTCAGCAGCATGCGAGATGAGCGTGTTGTAGCGTGGCCTAGTTTGGAGAAAGCTACTTGTGTGTTTCTGTAGGGTGAGAGACACTCAACTGCTTTGTTCTATTTGCATGGTGCTGAGAGTCTGATCACAGGACTGGGATTTTCAATGCTTTTGGGAAAAAGGGGGTTACCATCGCTTTGAAAAGGGATGGAACGCGAGACAGTGCTTGTTCCACAGGGTGAAAAACCCACTGGGAATCCCGCTTCTTCTGAAGGAATAGAAGACAAGGTAGTCAATGGGTGTGCCACCCTGCAGAGAAAGGAGGTCTACGTTGCTGGGGTAAAGATTTTCTATGGGTCTCAGACTGGCACAGCAAAGGTATGAGTTACTCTTTTTCCATGTGCATGATCTTGAGTTGAAATGTTGAGATTCGAGTATGTTGCTTGCCTTAGAAACACTACAGTGTGTAGAAATCAGAGTTCCTTCATGAGAAGTTGTTGCCCAACAGGAAAGATAAGTGAAAAGCATATAAAAATAAGAGCTTTACTACTGCCTTCATGTGGGGTATGCAGTAGAGACATTATTATGAAGCTTCAAGTTTACTCTTACAGTGTTATAGAACCCCAGCCTGGTTTGTGTTGAAAGGGACCTTAAAGCTCTTCCAGTTTTAACCCCCTGTTACAGGCAGGGACACCTTCCACTAGAGCAAGTTGCTCCAAGCCCCATCCAGCCTGGCCTTGAATATACTCTTAATTTGCTAGCTGATCTTCTTAGAGAGAAGTGCTCTTTCAGGTGCTTTTTCAAAAAGAAATGTCATTTGTGTGTGTAAATATAAAATCATTAATCATAAAATTCATGTGATTCTCTTTTTCCAGCCAGTATATCCTTGCTGTGCTGGGAGAAGTCCTGTCTCTGAGCACAGCAGGGCTCGTTTGACCTTTCAGGTACCTGTGTTGTAGCACCCAGTCGCTGTCTCTGTTTCTTTTCTCAGAGATTTGCCAGAGCTCTTGCTGAGGCAGTTATTTCCCTTAATGTGCCAGTGGAAGTCATTAGCATGGGAGACTGTGATCCAGATGATTGTTTATTAGAGGAGGTAGGTACGTTGTAAATGGGAATAATAAATCCAAGCTTTTCCTGGGGTTGTGAAGGCAAAGCTGTGTGTTGAAATTTGCTTTCCTTCCATGGAAGCAAGTGCAGTCCATCAGCCCTTGGCAACAAATAGCTAAATGCTGAAATTGCTGAGGAAAGGCTCGTGTAGGGCGTGTGATGCCGAGTGTGGCTTTGTCCAAGCCAGTTGTGTAGCTCGGCTGTGAGTAATGGACAGTGTCTGCACCAGGGCCCCTGTTGTGTCTATGAGAGTGTCCACCTGGGAAGGGTTCAAAACTGGAGTAAGAGGATGGTGATTCTTCTGCAGCTTTTAGACTTAGAAACTTCTCATGAGCAGTATTTCTGCTGGGGAATCCTTGTGGATTTTTCTTCTGTCAATATTGATAGTTGATTTTTTAATGTATGGGGGGCGTTATTGCTGCAAGAGCGTGTTTTGGAAGCTGTTGATTGGGGTGGGGAAGGTGGGTGTCCCGTTCTGTTTTCCCACTCCATTAAGCAGGGGAAAGAGAGCTTGTTCTCTTTTGGTTAATTTAAGATGGCTTTGCAGGGAGGATGGCCATCCACCACTGTTGGGGTTATCACCTGCAGCATCCCACACCAAAAACTATTCAGCCAGCCAGCCAAAATCTCATCTTTTGTCTTCTTTCAGGTGCCCACGTGTTCCAGCTCTCTTCCTGAAGTGGTCAGGAAACTTGAGTGATCTTTTCTCTTGTGTTCTGTTTCTGTTCTTAGACAACCAGCAGGAACATCTGTGTGTTCTTGGTGGCTACATACACAGATGGGCAGCCAACTGAGAGTGCAGCCTGGTTCTGTAGGTGGTTAGAAGAGGCTGCGCACGACTTCCGCTTTGGGAAAGCCTATCTGAAGGGCCTGAGATACGCTGTATTTGGCTTGGGAAACTCTGCGTATGTTGCTCATTACAACACAGTAAGTATCTCCTGTGCACATGTCTTTGACTCCTGCTCCTCTGGAAGGCTGAGCTATCTTAAATGTTACGTACCTGCCTGTTACTGGTAGTTTGTGTGAGAATTGGCCCAGAAAGCCGATGGCATTCTGGGCTGCACCAAAAAGAGTGTGGCCAGCAGGCTGAGGGAGGTGGTTCTCTTCCTCTACTCTGTTTTGGTGAGACCCTCCCTCTGTTGCATCCAGCTCTGGGGCAACAACACGTGGGATGTGGAGCTGCTGGATTGAGCCACAGAGATGCTGCCTGGGCTGGAGCAGCTCTGCTCTGGAGCCAGGCTGTGAGAGCTGGTCTGGTTCAGCCTGGAGAAGAGACGGCTCTGGGGAGACATTAGAGCAGCTCCCAGTGCCTGAAGGGGTCTGATGAGAAACCTGGAGAGGGGCTTTAGATAAGGGGCTGCAGGGACCGATCAAGGGGGAACGGCTTTAACCTGCCAGACGGGAGACTGAGAATGGCCATTAGGGAAAAAATTCTTCCCTGTGATTTTGGTGAGACACTGGCACAGGTTGCCCATAGAAGTGGGCATATGGCAGTACCTGAGCCTTGTAATGAGTTTCATCTTGGTCAGAAAAATGGCATGACTTGTCACCTGGTTGTTATGTTTGTGTAACTGGAGCCACAGGAAATGTGTTAGGCATGTGGCCATTTTGACCAAGCATAGGATAAAGGAGCTTGTTTCCAGAGCTCACCTCTTATCACATGGGTTTGATAGCAGAGGTGTTTTCCATCACAGAATGCTTTGGGTTGGAAGTGACCTTAGAGCTCTTGGAGTTCCAGCCTCCTGCCAGGGGCAGGGACACCTTCTTGTGCCTTGAGCACTGCCAGGGATGGGGCAGCCACAGCTTCTCTGGGCACCCTGTGCCAGCGCCTCAGCACCCTCACAGGGAAGCATTTTTCTCATAATGTCTAATCCAGGTGTGGTGGTGTTCAGACTGTGTGTGCTCTGAGCCGGCAGGTGAGGGAGAGTCCAGAAGTGCCTGTCCTGCAGTCCTGTGCAGCCCTCTTTCCAGGCTTGGTGCTTGCTTTCTTAGTTGCCTGCTTTGTTTAACTTGGCCTTCATTTAATTTCCCTCTAACTTTGATCTTATCCCAGGTTGGAAGAAATATTGACAGGTGGCTGTGGATGCTCAGCGCCAGCCGGATCATGACTCGTGCCGAGGGGGACTGTAACGTGGCCCAGAGCGAGCATGGCAGCATTGAGGCCGACTTTGAAGCCTGGAAAGCCAAGTTCCTCAGTCGGCTTCAGGCCCTCTGCAGAGGGGAAAAGAAGCCCTGTGGTGGGAAGTGCAAGAAAGGGAAGTGCAAATCTCCAGGGAAGCAGAGCAGGGAGAGTTCAGATCATGAACATGGGGTATCGGAATATGCAAATACTGAGGTAAAGCCCCAATCCGTGAGACCTTATTTCTGGTTTAGTACCCCTTGTAGCACTGGTTGACTTCTCTCCTTTCTCCTTCAGCCCAGAGGGGTGCCGTGGGAGCTTGATACCTCTTTTTTTTTTTTTTTTGGAGCAGAGGGGGAAGAGGGATGAGATCCCATGGCAGATAGCAAGTAGAATAAGCCACCCAGGAAGGACCAAAGAATTTAGTGATGGCTGATGGACCTAGGCTAGATGGCATGTGTATGATGAGTCTCCCTCTTGAGTAGGGGGAGGTATGTGTTGTGATACATGCTCCAGGGACCCAGTCTGGGTTCTCTTCAGAGCCTTTGCTTTGTCTCATGGCCAAGTTCACTTCACATTTAGTTGTCTGGGAGCAGTTAACCCGCTTCCATTTCAACTTGGGGAAATTCAGGTGCTTTGCCTGAATCCCAAGGTTTTTCCAAAGGCAGCTGGGGGAGTGTTCTCTGAGCAAGTCCTGTATTTGCTCTGAATGTGTGCCCGTAATCTTTTTTTGTGTCTTCTGGAGTGTTTGTTGATTGCAGGCTTAAATAAGGAATCCTCTCTCTTGCTCTAAAATGCAAGACCCAGAGGTGCTGTGGCACTTTAATCCTGCAGGCAAGGTGTTTGCTGTGAGTTGGAAATGACTACGATGGCCATGTTGAATTCTGTAGGAAAAGAAGGTCTCTTCTGTCTGAGTGGGTTTGAGGGTGCTGCCTGCTGCAGGAACAAGAGGAATAAGCATTGCTGTTCCGCCAGTGCTCTTCTGCTGTACCTTGCCTGTGTACAAAAAGGGAGACGGTGTTTCTGCTCCGTGAAGAATTTCACTGGGAAAGCAGATCTCTCACTCCCTGTTTATCAGACACCAAGGGGCACTCGGGGGAATTGAAGGGCTTTAGGCTTCCAGATGATCACAGTACAGAGTGGGAGTCTGACTTCTCTGATTGCCTGTCATGGGATCAGATGGGCATATGAGGGAAAGGGAATAATCTGGAGGCAAGAAAGCTGGGCTGAGCTTCAGGCAGTCTGCTACTGAACTCTTAAGTAGACACCAAAGAAAGCCCCAGGTTTAAATGCATCTTGTACACATTATACAGGTTATTGGTAGGCTGTTCCTTGTTTTTCAGTATCTTTGCCGAGTGTGAGAGCTGATTTCACTGGTTAGCATAGATGAAGATCTCATGCTTAACATTCAGATACATTTCTCACTTGGATTTTTGTCTGATCTCTTACACAGGCAGAGTTGTTTGAAAGCAGTAGTGAGGAGGAGGCTGACGCTGAGGAAGCTGGAGGGTCAAGTTCTGTCCTTGATGTTGAAGATCTTGGCAAGATCATGAGGCACGTGAAGGAAGCCAAGGTACCACTGTTACGAGGAGTGTGGAACTATCGGGTCTTTATCAGTGATCAGTTGAATCGATTAAAATACACTTGCTGGATTTGAATTGTTGGAGCTAGTTAAAGGGAGAGTAAAATAGAAGCTATTGGAGAACCTGTCCTCAAACAAGCCTATACTTGGAGGTGTGTTGGATATACTTCCTGGCTAACTGGGACTCGTTCGCTGAGCAAATAGTGCAGTGGTAACCTTTTATTGTGAGTCAGAGGGAAAATAACTTCCACTGTTCAGATCTGAATATCCATCTCTGTTGCTGTGATTCACAGTCCAGTGTCTAAACACAAATCTTGTTACTGGATCTGCCTGTGGGAGCTTGATCTGACCTGTGTTGAGCCTGGCAAAGACAACCATAATCCTGCTTTATGCCAGGGTGTTACTATCTCCCTTCCTGTGTGGGTCTGTTCAAGTTTCATTTTCTGTGTGCAGTCTTCCAACAGAATACATCAGACTCCTTTATCTGGTTAGCACACGGGAAGGAGTCAGAATACGCATAGGTACTAGGCTAAGCCTTCCTGTGTTCCCCACACTTCTTGCCGGCTGAGCAGTTGGCAGCTGGGATGGGAAGGGTGTGCCCAGGAGGGACCTGGGATGTCTGTGTTGCCACCTTCTGTTTCCCCCTTAGCAAGCTTTCTGTGGTGGGCTCTTTCCCTGTGCATCCTTGAGCTGCTCTCTACCCCATCCTCAACAAACCTACCTCTGTCTGTAACTGCACCATCCTTGTCTTGCATGGCTCTGCGCTGTGGACTTAGAATCATAGGATCGTTAGGGTTGGAAAGGACCTTAAGATCACCAAGTTCCAACCCCCCTGCCGTGGGCAGGGACACCTTATGCTAAATCATATCAGCCAAGGCCTCGTTCAACCTGGTCTTGAGCACTGCCAGAGATGAAGCATTCACAACCTCCCTGGGCAACCCATTCCAGTGCCTCACCACCCTCACAGGAAAGAATTTCCTTCTTATATCCAACTTGAACTTGCCCTGTTTTAACCCGTTACCCCTTGTCCTGTCACTACAGTCTCTAATGAAGAGTCCCTCTCCAGCATCCTTATAGGCCCCCTTCAGATACTGGAAGGTTGCTATGAGGTCTCCACGCAGCCTTCTCCAGGCTGAACAGCCCCAACTTCCTCAGCCCGTCTTCATACGGGAGGTGCTCCAGTCCCCTGATCATCCTCGAGGCCCTTCTCTGGACTTGTTCCAACAGTTCCATGTCCTTTTTATGTTGAGGACACCAGAACTGCACACAATGCTCCAGGTGAGGTCTCACAAGAGCAGAGTAGAGGGGCAGGATCACCTCCTTCGACCTGCTGGTCACGCTCCTTTTGATGCAGCCCAGGATACGGTTGGTTTCTGGGCTGCAAGCGCACACTGCCGGCCCATTTTCATTTTCTCATCGACCAACACCCCCAAGTCCTTCTCCACAGGGCTGCTCTGAATCTCTTCTCTGCCCAACCTGTAGCTGTGCCTGGGGTTGCTCCGACCCAGGTGTAGGACCTTGCACTTGGCATGGTTAACCTTCATGAGGTTGGCATCAGCCCACCTCACAAGCGTGTTGAGGTCCCTCTGGATGGCATTCCTTCCCTCCAGCGTATCTCAACCGAACCACACAGCTTGGTGTCATCGGCAAACTTGCTGAAGGCGCGCTCAATCCCACTGTCCATGTGAGCGACAAAGATGTTGAACAAGACCGGTCCCAACACCGACCCTGAGGGACGCCACTCGTTACTGGTCTCCAGCCGGACATTGAGCCATTGACCACAACTCTTTGCGTGCGGCCATCCAGCCAGTTCTTTATCCACCGAGTGGTCCATCCATCAAGTTGATGTTGCTCCGATTTAGAGACAAGGATGTCGTGTGGGACAGTGTCGAACGCTTTGCACAAGTCCAGGTAGATGACATCAACTGCATTACCCCTGTCCATCAGTTCTGTAGCCCCATCATAGAAGGCCACCAAATCGGTCAGGCAGGATTTCCCCTTAGTGAAGCCCTGCTGGCTGTCACCAAGCACCTTGTTGATTTTCATGTGCCTTAGCGTGCCTTAGCATGCCTTCCAGGAGAATCTGCTCCAAGATTTTGCCAGGCACAGAAGTGAGACTGACTCGTCTGTAATTTCCCGGGTCATCCATTTTCCCCTTCTTGAAAATGGGGGTTATATTTCCCTTTTTCCAGTCATGGGGAACTTCACCTGACTGCCATGATTTCTCAAATATGATGGCCAGCGGCTTCACAACTTCATTCACCAGCTCCTTCAGGACCAACGGGTGGGTCTCATCAGGACCCATGGACTTGTGCATGTTCAGATTTTTAAGATGGTCTCGAACCAGATCCTCTCCTACAGTGGGCACAAGGTCTTCAGTCTCACAGTCCCTGCATCTGCCTTCCAAGACTTGGGTGGTGTGGTCAGAGCCTTTGCCAGTAAAGATGGAGGCAAAGAAGTCATTCAGAACCTCAGCCTTCTCCAAATCCTGTGTAGCCAGTTCTCCCGAGAGCTTCCTGAGGGGGCCTACATTCTTCCTAGTCTGTTTTTTATTTGCTGTGTACCTGTAGAATCCCTTCCTGTTATCTTTAATACCTCTAGCTAAGTTTAATTCTAACTGGGCCTTAGCTTTCCTAACCTGGTCCCTAGCTTCTCGGACAACATCCCTGTACTCTTCTCATGCAACCTGTCCTTGCGTCCACTTATTATAAGCCTATTTTTTCAATTGAATTTTCCTCAGGAGCTCCTTATCCACCCAAGGAGGTCTCCTGGCCCTCCTGCTGCACTTCCTTCTGGTTGGGATGCAACACTCCTGAGCTTGCAGCAGGTGATTCTTGAATATCAACCAACAGTCTTGGGCCCCTCTGCCCTCTAGGGCAGTATCCCATGGAACCTTCCGAAGCAGGTTCCTGAAGAGGCCAAAGTCTGCTCTTTTGAAGTCCAGGGCAGTGAGCTTGCTGCACGCTCTTCTCACTGTCCTGAGGATCTCAAATTCAAGCATCTCATGATGGCTGCATTCAAGGCTGCCCTGGAGTGTCACATTTCCAACGAGCCCTTCCCTGTTAGTGAGCACGAGGTCAAGCATGGCACCTCTCCTTGTCGGCTCCTCTATTACTTGCAGAAGGAAGTTGTCTTCTACACAATCGAGGAACCTCCTGGATTGCTTGTGCTGGGCCATACCGTCCTTCCAACAGATGTCAGGGTGGTTGAAGTCACCCATGAGAACGAGGGCCTGCGAGCGTGAGGCTTTTCCTATCTGTCTATGGAGTGCTTCATCCGCAGGTTCTCCTTGATCAGGCAGTCTGTAACAGATCCCCACAGTAATGTCTCCCATAGCTATATTCCCTTTAACCCTGACCCACAAGCTCTCTGTGGACTGCTCACCTGTCCCCAGACAGAGTTCCATACTCTCCAGCCTATCCCTAACATAAAGGGCAACTCCCCCTCCCTGCCTGCCGGGCCTGTCTTTTCTAAAGAGCCTGTAACCTTCCATCCCAACACTCCAGTTGTAGGAGCCATCCCACCATGTTTCTGTGATGCCTATTATATCATACCCCCGTAGACGTGCACACATCTCTAATTCCTCTTGTTTGTTCCGCATGCATTGGGCATTTGTATAGAGGCATCTGGGCCGAGCTCCAACTGAAGCCGGCTCATTGGCTGGAGCGGCTGGGATATCTCTACAGTGCTCCGAGCTTTTATTATAGGTTCTGGCAACTGACTGGGTGTGTTGGGATGGAACGATGCCCCCCTCCCCCGACACATCTAGTTTAAAGCCTCCTTGACCAGTCTGGCAAGCCTCCTACCAAAACTGCTCTTTCCCTTCTTTATCATCAGGGCATCTCCACCAGCCCCCACTAGACCTGGCCTACAAGCTTGGGTGCCGTGTTCAAGACACCCAAACCCCTGACTATGACACCAGCCTTTTAACCAGTTACTAACCTGGCCAGTCCTCCTAGCTTTTTAGGTCCTCCCCTGTACCCTGGAGAATTGATGAAAAGACCACCTGAGCTCCAGAGCCCCTAACCACCTCCCCCAGGGCTCCGTAGTCCTTCTTTATGTTCCCCAGGCTACTACTATCTATATCCCTAGCAGCCACATCTATCACCAGGAGTGGGTAATAGTCCGTGGGACTTACTAGAGCAGGCAGCCTCTCTGCCACATCCCTGATCCGTGCCCCCGGTAGGCAACACACCTCCCTTGAGGCGGGGTCTGGACAGCAGACAAGTGCTTCTGTCCCTTTCAGTGTAGAGTCCCCTACTACTACGACCCGCCGCTTTTTCCTAGCAGCACCAGTAGAGATCTTCTTTACCAAGGCATCAGCCGGCTGTTTCTGGCTCGAGTGCGCTTCCTCATTAGCCCCCTGCAGGACAGCAGAGCGGTTCTGCGTGGGGACAGGGGATTTAGGGGGAAGCCCCTTGCTTTTGGTTGTCCTTTTCCTTCTTTTTTTTGTTGTTTTTTTTTTGTCGCTAATTCCCAGCTTCCCAGGTTAACGGCCTCTTTCTTTCCTTCATGAGGTAGAGGTGAAGCTCGAGGCCCCTGCACAGTTTGGGCCGGGAGCAAGCATTCCTGCTTCCTCTCAGCTTCCCTGACTCACAGTCTATTAACAGCATCCTGCAGCTCAGCCACCTGCTGCAGGAGGACCTCCACCAGGGAGCACCGAGTGCAGCCCTGCCCTTCTTCTCTCAGCTGTTTCCTGAAACTCCCTCCAGGCCTTGGATCACAGGAGGCTGCATGCGCAGGAGGAGAGCATGTGGTCTCTCTTGCTGACCTTAGGGAGGGGAAAGGAGATAAAATCCTCCCCACTGCTTGTAACAGGCTGTGTGAGGAGAGTAGCTCCAGTGACGTGGGGCAAGGCAGGCCGCTGTGCGAGAGCTCCTGCCCCTGAGCTTGTATGGACCTGGTGCACTGCAGCTTGCAGATGAACCAATTGGAGGGAGAAGGGCTCAATCTCTCCCTGTGTGGCTGTGCTGTGGTCCTTTCTCCTCTCT